ACCATTAAATTAAATATTTAATTAAAGTAAAGTTTGTGCATTAGCAGTGGTGTAAAGTCGGTCTATTATTAAAATTTTAATGATTCCGTCCGAACAGGGCCCAATACATTTCAAAAAATCTGATCCATTATCATTTGATTAAACTCGGTCCATAAACAACTATTAGCCGATCGGACGGCTAATATTAGTCAAACAATATCTAACGGCCTGAAATCAATAAAGCATGCTATAAAAGGTAAAAAAACCCAATTTTTTAGGGTTTGTCATTTGTTCTCTCAGCATCTTCTCACTTCTCTCTCCCACCGATTCATCTTTCTCGACCCTTCACCTGACCTTTTGTTTTATTTTTTTTTATTTTTGTTTTAATTTTGAACGAACTCAGCTCATGATAATAGATTTTTATGAGAATCTATGTCGATTACGACATGATGCATATTGTTTTGAGCACGGATTCGAAAAACTTGATATGGGCTTTTTCAGTTTATTATTTTTTCTTTCATTTTCATCGATTTGAGTTAATGTTAGTTGAGTTTGATAAGAATCTCAGTCGAATATGATCTGATGAATATGTATGATACACCCGGTTCAAAAATTTTATGAACGACTGAGGTCTTTCATTTTTTAGTTTTTTTTTTTTTTTAATTTTTGTATTCGGGATTATTGTATAAAAATTGAAGGTCGTTTTTCCTTTACCGTATCCAAATCTACTAACTCATTGTTCATAGATATTATAGATCAGCCTACTATTCATGGATTTGTTTTTTCAATTTATGGATATTTTTTATGGTTTTTGCAGTTCGCTATCATTTTCTGTGAATTTTATTAAAATATATGATGAATCTGGTTTAATTTTTTGAATTTTCTTTCAAATCCGAAAGTTTTGTGTCGAAAAAAATGAAATCCAAAAATGAAGTATCGATATTTTACTAAAGTATATAATTTTATTTATAAAAGGTTTTAGATTTGGTATTTAATTAGATTTTAGACCGATTTTTAAAATTCAATTTGAACAGTAACTGGGTTGGGGTGGCTCCAATTGAGGAGAAAAGTCTATGTTGTTGTTGTAATTTGAACAGTAACTGTACTTCACATTTTTTTAGTGTGTCTTGTTTCTTAAATTTTTTATTTTTTAGAATGTCGAACATTTGATCCAAAAACACATACGAATCTTGTTTGTTCATTCGAATATCTTTCAAAATCAGAAAGTTCTAAGAAAAGTAATATGAAAACTACTATGACGAACGATTATGTTTGCAATACTTTGTAAATATTTAATTATTTTAAGTTCTATATCGATTTGTTGTCACTGTTCTGATTGAAACTAATGTGCACATCAAAATTATGTGTTTTTGGAACATTTATACCATTTCAAATACTAATTCAGATCTATATTGATGTATTGTTGTTTGTTCTTAAACAGATGACTAACAAATAAAAAATGGATTCTTCGGGAGTTGACAGTTTGCTATACTTCATTAATGATTCAGAAACTGGAGCAAAAAATAAGGTAATTGAAAAAAACATATTGTTTTCTTTAAAAATTTATCATATGATTATCTATGTATCATTGTTTTGTACTATGAAACAAACTTCTTGAACTATATGAAGAATGTACAATTTGTCTATTGGTATTTGGTATATCACTGAGTTATATGTATATGCTGTAATTTTAATGATTATTTTTTACTCAACATTTGGGTTGTTACTATAATGAGTGTTGGGATATCAATAACTGTAGTTATGGTCTTATCATAGTTTACCTATAACCCTGTTAACAGTAATGACTGGCTCTTGCTGTCCTTTGATGATTACCTTTGTTTTAGTACTAAAGTAATGTTATTGATTATCATATCATGACGATATATCATTGCATCCAAGAGATTTCTAGAATAAGTTTGTATATCAGTAAACTACAGTCATATTAACACTAAACATCGGCTATGACATTCTATTGATTGTATACATATGTTTTTATTAGTAAAACTATATCATTAAAATTCATAACCTGCCACGTTTGATAGCAACTATTAAGAATTATGTTAATTCTGTAATCGTATAAAAGTTAACAGATTCACAACAAACTTAAAGGTAAACAAAGGTAAATATAAAATAGATAGATTTCATTGAAAAACAAATTTTTTCATATTTTTTTCATGCATAAAGTATAGAATTCAGTGTTAACAATAAAGGTAAAACAAAAAAACAAAATTTAAAGGTACTTATTTGAGTTTTGTCATAAAATCTGCTTCTGTTGATCTGAATTCCATGAAGTGTGTTATGAGGTTCTGTAGCTGCTATTGTTTTCCCTTCCTTTTCTCTATCTGCTGTTTTCCCTTCCATTATGTAGGCTAGATGTCCACTCATCCTTGTGTTTGTTGTTATTAAACATGAAATAGTAAGTATACTGTAGTAAAAAATAAGTTCATCTTTACACAGGAAGTAGAAAAAAAAAAAAAAAAAAAAAACTTACAACATTCGTTTTCTGATGATGTTGTGAACAATATCGTCGTTATTGCTTTTCCATCCAATTCTGTTCTTCACAACTTGAAGGTTCTTCACACACAAATCTGTGAGTCAGTCTATACGTCAGTCTGTACGTCTGCCAAAAAAACTAAAAAAAAGAATGTCGGCATTAGATATTGGATAAATTGAACAAAAAAAAAGAAGATTGCTAACTTCAAAATACGATTTGTATGTGCTACCCAGTTATTTGTGATTCGTTCAAAGTAACATTAGAGTGAATGCGTTCTTTTATTTTTTATTTTATGTAGAAGGAACCGAGAGTATGAGTTTGAATGTAATAATACGATGAATGCATTAGAAAGATAGGATATTTATAGTGATATGATTAATATGCCGTCAGATTCAATAGCTATCCGATATTTTTTATTGTGATATGATCAATATCTCGTCGGATCCTATCCGATTTACTTGATTTTGCTTATGGTGAGTTGGCAAAAATATTTGGACAATTTCGATGCAATATGTAGCAATTAAGAAATTTGTGAACAAATACAATCCTACAAAATCAGATGATATATCTGTTGGTAAAAAAAAAATCCAAACAAATGTGAAAAGTCATCCAAATCGTCAATTTTGAAGTTGCCCTAAAAATCTGCAGTTATCGTGGAAAATTGGTAACAATTCATATATAAAACTAATCAAAATCTTAGCAGTATAGTTAACAAAATCCGATAATTTTGGTAAGGCAATTAAAATCTTACCAATATAGCTAACAAATTCCGATGATTTTGGTAAGACAATTTCTATCATTATCTTCAAGATCTTGTAGTAATTATGAAAATTGTGAACATATAAAATCCCACAGAATCTGTTGAAATTGGTTAAGAATAAAATCCCACAGAATCTGTTGACATTGGTTAAGAAAATCTGAACTAATTTTGGTATGAGATATTTATTACTTAAATTTAATTTTAACGCGTGGGCCCCATTGGTGTTACTTAAATTAGTAAGTCAAAACTTTATTTTTCAAGTCAAACATACTATTTTTGTATTTTTCCATCAACCTCTTTATATTACTATAGATTTCCAAATAGAAAATGAAAGTTGCAGTAATTTTTTTTTATATTTCTAATTATTAGTTTGTAATTAACATAATATGAATTCATACAAGCAGTCAATGTTCAAGCAACAATTAAGGTCAAATTACTGTTAAAAAAATTCAATAAAAAATTAAATAATTAAAATAATAAAATGAAGATAGTATGTTTCAGTCAGTTACATAACACCATCCACAAGATTATGCAAATTTTAATACTATTATATAATTAACAACAACAATCACGGAATTAAATTAGCTAAACTTTAAAAATCGTTATAATCCATTATTATTATTATTATTATTATTATTATTATTATTATTATTATTATTATTATTATTATTATTATTATCCACCTTATCCCATTAATGATAAAATAATTTCTTTTTATATTAACACAGTAATAAATATATTTTTTATTGTATCATATAATACTTATTCTTAAAATTAATAATTATATTTTCCACTAAATGATATATGAAAAATACATAAGCATAAAATATTATATTTTATAACCTTTTTGTTCAAGTTATTTATTCCAAAATCAATATAATATTTTTTATCTAATTAAGTGATTATTTTTTAAATAAATCAATTTATTTTATGTCATAGTAAAATTCCTTAAAATTGCATAAGCAGTTGTTATAATAAATTTAATATTTTTCAGCTAATTAATTGGTCATAATCTCTCATAATTACAAAAATTATATTATTTTATTACATTGTATGCAATCAAATTGTTAAGTACTATTTATTTTAACCAATGATTAAATATTAAATATAATAACAGTATCTAACTTATAATTTGAATATTATATGCATAAATATAATTTATAATACTCTATGTTTAAAATATAATACAATTATCTAACTTATAATTTTAATATTATATATTTACAAATAACTCATAATACTTTATTTAAATTATCTGTGCAAATACACATATCGAATACTAGTAGGATAAATAAGAATCAAACAACTTTATAAAGTGATTTAGAAACTTAATATTTAGAAACAACTTTAATGCAAATACACATATCATAATACACATATCAAACAACTCACCGGCTTAGATTGTAAATATTAAGTTTCTAAATCACTTTATTAAGTTTGTATTAAGATTGTGTCTCATGGATACCTCATTAATTTATTGATGCCAGTATAAATTTTTCGCTCGTGGTGCTCCAAACTGAATTGTGTAATCCTGGGTTATTCATATAAACTAAATTATGAATATTATCAAAATTCCCTCCTAACTACTCTTTTATCATTTTATCACCGGTTCTTGCCAGTTCTCAGACGACAAGTCCCTGCCAGTTGAGTGTCGTGGTTCGTGACCTCGACCTGACGCTGAGGTCAGCATCCTACGGTGTGCGCATCAGCTCGGAAGCTACACGAGCGAGATATTCAGCCTTCATGGATCTCGACCGTGGGAGATCTTTATGCGGATGAGGAAAAAGAATTTCTAATTGACGTATCCGTCCCAGCATACTCCTTCAGCCTCGAAGAGGATGAAAATGAAAACGATAGGCGGACCCTACTTGTGGACGTCACGTGCTCGTACAAGGACGTCAAGCGCAATTCTGTCGAGCACGAGGTCGTCTGTTTCGGCCTCGGAGTCGAGCCAGGCGGGAGACGGGCTCTCGTTGCAGCTGGAGGCTGAGATGAGAGAAATTGAGGAGAAAATGGAGTGTAAGAGGATGTACGATCAGGTTGTCGAGCATGAGTGCGCATCCGAATCAGAGGGCCTCTACCAGGTCGGACACTTCTGGGGATGCTTATGTGACCCAAATATGGCTAATATGGTGAGCAAGTGCCATGGGGTCATCAAGATTAGAAGGAAGAAGATTAGGCTTTCTTTTTCTTTTCTCATTATGGATATTGCTTAAGTTATGCGATGGACAATATTTTATCTATCTATTTGACTTTTATTTTGGTAAGCGTCCGATCATTTTATTCGTGTTTGGAAACTTATGTCCCTTTTGTTTATTTTATTTTATTATTAACGAAACGATAGATTTTATAGATAAACACATAATTAATACAATTAGAAGAGCCAAACAACTATCTATATAGTTGAATCTAGCGCGAGAACCTCGGAGCCTAGAAAGACTATACTAACTAACCCACAAACAACTCTCAAAACGGGACGAAAGCTCCTACTAGAGGAGAATCAGCTCCTAACAAGAGGAGAAACACCAATAACACAAAACACAACAAGAAAAAATAAAAAACAACACAACTCAGAACACAAAAGCCATAAAACAACACAAACTAAACGAAATAGAATAACACACTCCTTCCAACTGACAAACAAATCGCACACGCATCGGCCTGACACCCAGAGATATACACCCACACGGATAGGACTCTGACCTGAATACCAAATCAAAAATTCCACGGCTAGCTGGAACCGCATCAGACGACATCCATCTTCTCCGGACGTACCACCCCTGAACCGGCAACCTGCGGACGACTCAGCCTAACCTCACCCCCTCAACCGGCTCAACCAAAAACCCCTGGGCGGTTGCTAGATCTGAGGTGAGATGCGGTGCCGACAGCGATGAGGGACTGGAACTGTGGCGGGGCTAGAGTCGTCAGCCGAAAAAATATGGACGCTGGAGACTGGAATCGTAAGACTGCGTCGCTGGACTATGGATCACGGGCTGGAATCGCCAGATTGTGGGACGTGCTGCCAAAAACAGAGGCTTGGCTGAGGTCGGGATGATGTGTCGCCGGACTAGACGGTGGCAGAAAACAGGGTCACAGGAATAACGGGGTCATCGGTCAACGGCCGCGATCGGCCGGGCAACGCCGATTAATGGAATTAAAAAATTATTTATTATATATTTAATTTAAATATGATAATAATTACTTTTTATTATTTAATTGATGTATTTTTCAATTACTTAATAAGAGCCATAGATCAATACAAAATCAGTGACTATGATTGAGTCTCATTTTAAGAGGTATTCTCATTTGAATAAGTGTTCTCATTTGATCCACCTAT